AAATCTCGTCGACGTTCCGGAGAACCGCTTACTCAGATGGCAGAGGGTCGAGCAGATTCGGCAGCATTTTTGGCGTCGGTGGAGCACTGAGTACTTGCAGTCGTTGCAAGAGCGAAACAAATGGAAAATCAACAAAGGCATACAGTTGCTGCCCAATCAGCTCGTCCTCGTAAGACAGCCGAATCTAGCGCCATTGCAATGGCTTCTGGGTCGCGTGCAGGAAACTCACCCAGGCGCTGACGGCGTAGCTCGAACGGCCACGCTTCAGACTTCCAAAGGCTCGATCACGAGACCCTTAACCAAATTAGCGATTTTACCGCTTGAAACCTAGTTTATAAGCTCTATTCATACGCTGTAAGTTAGTTTTAAGATATCGTATGTAGTTTTAGATAATCGTGTGTTATTATGCTTTCAAACAATCCTTGTGTTTGCATCCGACGCTCTATGTATCACCGTATTACCGTTAAGTTAGCGCTTCCTTGGTTAAGTTGCTAAGTCAAGCACAATGTGTCGCGGGCGCAATCAATGCTTTATTATTATTTTTTTTTTAATTTTATTTTCAAGGAAGCGTAGAATTCAAGACCTTTGAAAGATGGTCCTTTCAAGGGCGGCGGCGTGTTCGAGATTCCGTCGATATTGGTCGGATTCGGTAACGTTGCGCGCACTGACTTGTCATCGCGCCGTTGCCATTGGTCGCGCGAGCAAAGTAGTGCGGTAGTCGTCCGCGCACCCCGCGTGAGCATGTGCGCATCCTCGCGTAATCATACCGGACCGCCATTCGTTGTAAGGATTTCGGGCATCGATCACGCAAAGGACCGACCGCGCGATCAAGGCAAGCTAAAGCCTCGCGTGCGAAAGTTATCCAGTTACGAGTTTCTCCGCTCTGCTACCGTAAACGTACCGAGGGTGCACCGATATAAATAGAGAGAAGTAGGCAAGGCTTCTCGACCACAATCTCGCTGGCTATATCTCCTCGAGAACAGTGTGGAAGTGCACGTGTGTCCGCAGTGAGCTCACGCGCAAGAACATTTAACGAACAGTCGCGATTGCCCGGAAGTCCTAGAAGAATTCACTCTTTTTCTAAATAGAGCGGGAGATACTCCCTGGATATCTCAAGATTCGACTACACTCGTCGTGTCGAGCACCCCCTTTTAATTCATTTTAGTGGTTAAAACTGGACAAATCTCCCATCCCCTTATCTTTGCCGATAACAACCGCGTAATCTTGTACTCGCTACTGGTCCCAGGTTTGTCCAGGCATTAATTACCGATGGTCGAACCTCGGGACGTAACACTCCTAAGCACCGGTCGCTGTGATTGGTGGTGTTCAATCGAGCCGTGATCAATCGGGAACACCCCGCGGCGGCCGAGCCGTCGAGGGACACCATAGGTTTGTTTTTTTTCTCTGCACTAGTGTGCACTAGTGCTGCACTGAACTAGCACTAAATCGAACTGCACTAATAGAAAATTGTACTAGTGCAAGATATAAAAGAACGTACCAGTACAGTAACTAATATAGCGTATCACGTAATGGATCGTGATATTTCTTATATGTTTGAATTATTTGATTCTTCGGACGAAAAACACGTAATTGTACCGCCACTATTAGAACCACCAATAATAGTTGAAAATAACGATGGTAATATATAATTTAATGACAAATTTATTATTAAAGACATATCATAAATAATAAATGATTATGACTTATAATAAATATTATAAGTAAATATTATGATTATGACTTATAAATATTATGATTACGACTTATAATAAATGAGTAAATATTATGATTATGACTTATAAATATTATGATTATGACTTATAATAAATGATTTATTATTTGAATGATTTCCTAAATAGATAGGGCAAAACAGCATACAAAATATTTAATATTATGTATATCTGGGCAATATATATTTGAATTTCAAAATGTTGCTTTTGAAGAAAATTTTACTAAAAAGCTGTAGTTTATGTTACTATTCCTAGTGAAAGATGATAATAGAACTCTAACTGGCTGTTTTAGCGACAAAAAGGATTACGTGATCAAAATGGGCGTTTAATATTCGTCAATTTTGACCACGTGATTCTTTTTGTCGCTAAAACAGCCGGTTCGAGCAGCTCGTGAAAATTTACCTGCATGGACAGAAAGGCAGCGACATTTATTTTTCGATGACTTTTGGAACGCGCAAAAATTTTCAGAGTGCGATTCATCATCTATCGATATGTGTGACGAGCGGTTATGGCTGCGGTCCACTTGACGCTACAAACGCTTCGAAGTGTTCTTTGATTAGTCAATTCGTAAAATTCTTTGTTCTGATTGGTCGCTCAAACGCTTCGAAGCGTTTGTAGCGTCAAGTGGACCGCAGCCTATGACAGCTGTCAAAGTCATACAGGATCAAAGTATACATGGTGAAGTCAAAAGAAACGTATCTTGTGCGCTGCGAAAAATATAATACCAATTGGATATCGCAAGCGTAAGTTAGTAAACCAATTAGATAAATTTGTTTTGTAAATTTATTTACATATTTTACGTGAGTTTAACATTAAAAATTAACACAAGATAACATGTAATGAAATAATAATACGTAACGAAATTACATATCATATAATAATTATATATATATAGTGTCCCAACCTTTTTTGCCTATCACTTTTGTGTAGATAGAGCAGACTAAACTGAGTCGAAAAGTCCTCTATACCATTTTGCAATTTTCGCAATAGTTAACAAGATATTAATTACTAAAAATTGCAAATATTGGTCTTGAATAATTTTTACTCAAATATTATCAACTTTATAGAAAACTTGCAAGAGAAAAAATTATTTATTTTCTTCTCATAAAGTTCTGAGAATTTTTTTAGAATTTTTCAGAATTTTTTAATACCGTATTTTCTCATGTAAAAATAAGAAAATGCAGTACTAAAAAGTTTATAAAAAATTCTGAAAAAATTCTCAGAACTTTATACATATATGAGAAGAATATTTTCTTCTCATATATGTATAAAGTTCTGAGAATTTTTTATAAACTTTTTAGTACTGCATTTTCTTATTTTTACATGACAAAATACGGTATTAAAAAATTCTGAAAAAATTCTCAGAACTTTATACATATATGAGAAGAAAATAAATAATTTTTGTCTCTTGCAGTTTTTCTGTAAAGTTGATAGTATTTGAGTAAAAAATTATTCAAGACTAATATTTTGCAATTTTTAGTAATTAATATCTTGTTAACTATTGCGAAAATTGCAAAATGGTAGAGGACTTTTCGCCTCAGTTTAGTCCGCTCTATCTACACAAAAGTGATTAGCAAAAAAGATCGGAACACCCTGTATATATAAAATATGTCCATATATCAGTGATGCGCTGTGTGGGAATTATTCTCACGTGGGAATGTTCATGCGCATGCGTAAGCTGACGTCACAGTCACGTGTCAGCAGCTTTCACAGACGTATCTGAGACCGTTAGGGCCATTCCACACAACTTACATATCCGCATAACCATATGCATAAAGAAAATTATCTAATCACATTTCTGTCATAAAGACAAACGTAAAATACCTACGATTGGATGATTTTCATTATGCAAACGTTTATGCGGCTATGAAAATTGTGTCGAATGGCCCTTAGCCGTTAGGTGCCCGTGCCGGTCGTGCCCCGTAAAGGGCTCTAAGTCTTTACGAATTTTCGTGCATTTTTTGCGAGAGGTAGGTCATTGGGTGTTTTCCAACAACGTACACAGATAACACAGTGTAACACTGTGTCGTACACAAAGTGTTCCAACTATGACACAGTGTTACACTGTTCGACACTGTAAAAAGTTAAGTACGAGCGTGTAGAGTATGTCAGTATTACCAACTTTTCAAGAAATTTTATACTTAACGTGTGGCAACATGTGGCGTGTGGAAATTATGGGATTCATTTCTAGCATGAATATAACCTAATTGTACCGGTTGTACGTATAGTATAATAGAAGAGAAAAAGGATAATTAATCATAAATTTATAAGGTAATTATTCAGAATACGGTCCTCACTTCCGATTTCGATAAAATTAGGCTCATATTAATTAGGCTCATATTAGTTACCCATATTAAAAAGTTAATATAGATGACTAACAAGTAAAATAGAGAAATCAAACCCACTCTGGCGATTCTCTCAGAAACTAAATCTAGAGTTCTGAGCGTTCCAACAAGTCTTTACACAGTGGAACACAGTGTAACGTCTCTGTGTCCTAGCTGGAAAACAGCCATTGTGTAACAAAAAGCAAAAATAAACAAATGCGCAATAGAAAATCATGATAATATAAGTTTGTTCGCGTCGTATGCTCCAATATATCTGAATATGTTCTAACATGCTCCGATCATAGCTCCTACTTACTCCAATCTGAATATCAAATATAAAGTTTGTTCGCGTCGCATGCTCCAAAATGCTTCAACATGATCGTACCATAGTTCCTACTAACTCTAACGAGCGTATTGGAGTAAGTAGGAGCTATGGTCGGAGCATGTTGGAACATGTTTAGATATATTGGAGTATACGACGCGAATAAATCTACAGGGTGCGGCATCAAAATCCGGACAAATTTCAATTTAAATTTTTCGCTATATTGTGCCTCCGCCAGTGGTTGTTGTTGACGTCAGAGAAAGCTTGATGTTTCTAGTAAACAGTCATATTATCAAAATGGCCGCGATGTTGAAACCAAGTGCAGAGTATAACCGAAGAGCCGCGATCATCGAAGGCCTTCGCGCCGGGCGCTCAGAAATAATTCGGTTTTTTGGATACCCGAGATCAACTGTTTATGACGTTGTGGCAAAATATACAGCTTCAGAACAGTCCAACGAAGATTCTAGTATACCAGCGAGGAAGATTCACTCGAAAGAACACACCGCGAGGAACCCCGCAGTCGTCAAAAGGGTTCCCAACAGTCCAGATTTAAATCCCCTGGACTACTATGTATGGGGCGTAGTTGAAAGGGTCATTAACAAATCTCGGCATCCCAACGTGACGTCATTAAGGACCGCTACTGAGGCAGCATTCGTCAGCATGGACAGCGCTACATTGCAGCGTGCGTGCGAACGCTTCAGACAGAGAATAGAGGCCGTCATTCAAGCTAATGGGGGATATATCGAATAATTATGCTCTATAGGGATCTCCCAAGTGCCATGTAAAAGGATTTTTTTAAATATTTAATTTTTCATTAAAAACATTTTGTTTAAAGAAATTGTCCGATTTGTCCGGATTTTGGTACCGCACCCTGTATATTATCATAATTTTCCAAACAGCACAGAATATTTATGATAAATATTTATTAATATTCATTTTGTGAAATGTTATATGT